ACAAACACTCAATGTATGTCTTTTCGTTTGGAATTCAAATGTTTCTCTTTCGGATATTTATAAGGCGTAAATTAAAACCTTATACAGTATGATAAAAAAAACTGCTACGATCCAATCTAAACTCCTTTCATCTCTGCACTTTTTATCGGTCTCTTTATTAAACGCCCGTCAAAACGAGGTCTAACACGCTGAGCATTATTGAAAAGGCCCATGACCCAAGCTATTTACCGAGTATTCCGATATATACGATAGGATAACTTTTTAATAAACTAATCGATCGATATGAAACAGTAAATTAGAAGCATTAAATAACTTGATAAAGTCGAATTGCGAAACTCCTCACTGTAGTTTTCTTGGTACACAAATAGCTATAAATACCATCTTCTTCGATCCCTATGGACTTGTTGTCGAAACTTTATTTCACCGGAATAAAACTTTTCGTTCAATTACTATCAACTTTAATAAAAGCAACTTAAGTTTTAAGATATATACTTTCGGCCGATCGTTTTTACTACAACTTGAAATAGAAACTTGTGAGTTCGTTGTAAGCTCAAAACCCTCTATTTTTTATACTCAATTTTAAAACTCTCCAAACTTGAAAATGTTGAAACAACTACATAAATTGAATCTAGTCGCAGTCACAAAAGAATTGCATTTATAAAATACCTTGTTAATGCGATCAGTTTTATTTAGGTGAATCATCAAGGCCATTAAATATTAGAATAAGTGAACATCAATCTTATATTAAAAATAGAGAATTTGATAGATCTCAAATCTGTAAACACGCATGGGATAATGAACATAGGGTTCAATGGAATAATTCAAATGTAGTCCTAAAAGAAACGGATGGTAAAAAAGAAAAATTAAAGAAGCGGCTCTAATTATGCTAAATGAGGCCAATTGTGTCGCAAATTCCTCGGCAGAATGTAGTAGGATCTGGTTACCAATATTGAAAGAGGAAGTTATTAATAAGAAAATACCAGTATTAGTAAGTCAGTAACATATAGAGGATACATCGTTTATGTTTTTTAAATAACGTAACATATAAAATCAGAATTTTGATGGTTGTTGAAGGTAAACTAAATTCACGAACAAATACTTACAATGTCGGGATAGTATTATGAGGTTTTTTTCCTGGTTTTTCCCTCATAATTTACTATGGAATCACTAACAGGAGAATTTTACTGTCATCATGTCAAGTGTTTGTCTTTTTAAAGACGAATTACAAGCTATGATTTTTTTCTGACGGATATTCTCAAGTTAAAGTTGATTTCATGTAATCGAATGAACTATCTTATAAGTAAAGTCGTTCCAGGAGCGCAACTCAACAATATTGGCAATATCATTTTAAAGTCGTCTACTTTAAAATGCATAATGTGTGTCTGAATTGGCAATTCAAATGAGTCAGATAAAATTAAATTATTAGAAGAATTTTTCACTATGTAACAAAAAACAAAATTTGTTTAATTTATTGTTTGAGAACGATTTCCGAAGTGGAAATTGAAACGTCAATAAACGTATTTTTATCTTTAATTATGGCTTATTCCCAGTTTAATAGTAATTAACACCCACTCAAAGTTCTGTTTCAAAAATCTACTTCAGGAACGTCCTTGATGGTATAAAGAGTGACAATGTCTTTAAGGTTCCGTGGAGCATGGAGTCCAATATATACATTGTCGTTCACTCAATTCTCTTGAGTGTCAAATAACCGAGAAGTCTATGTAATAACGGAATTAATCAATGTCCTGACATTATGTCGAAATGTGGTTACACAGCCAAATAAAGAGATCAATCAACAGCTGAATCAGCAGATTGTCGCAACTACACAATGAAGAAAATATTTTCATTTTATAAGCGTCAATAAAAAACTCAAAATTCCGTCTGGATGAACAAGCATGAACTGAAATACAAAGCAAATGTTTAACTTGCATGGTATGGAACAGGAATGATAACACAGCCCAAAAAAATTTAAACATTTGGTGCTTAAAAAAAAATGGAATTTTAAATATATTTGATGCTCTGATTTCAACTGTGACTTCTTTTTCATAGTATTTTATTTTGAATCGGTGGTATAATTTTAACTTCGCGCGAAAAGGTATATACACAAAGGCACCTGGAAATCACCAGACGGACTTAGAGTTAATATGCTAGATCATTCTATTGTAGACTGAACACACCAATTCAATATAATAAACTTTCGCACCAGAATAGGAGCAAATACGGGTTCTGAGCACTACTGTATCGAAAGTAGGGTAAGGGCCAGAATTTTAAAAGTTTATAAAAGGAAATAGGGCCTAAACATGAACGATACACTATAGAAGGACATAAAAATACAAACAAAAATATAGATTATAAACAAAATATAAACATCAAACTAGAAAACAGACCAAAACATGAAGACATAAATGATGAGTGGGAAGCATACAGAAACATCATGAAAGAAGCAGCTGAAGAAATACTAGGCATGAAAGGTAAACAAAGAAGAAAAAGAACGAATGACTGTTTTGACGAATAACACTAAATTATAATCGAGAGAAAAAACGAAGTATATTTAATGATGCAATAGGGGTACAGAACCTGACAAGCAGAGGAGTAGTATAAATAACTACGTAAGGACGAAAAGAAATCCACCGCAGAAAGAAGAGAGAGACTATGAACAAAGAACTTCAAGAACTAAAAGTTCTGGGTAAGCCAAAAGAGATGAGAAAATTTTACCAGAAACTAAACGAAAACAAAAAGGAATTCAAACAAAAGAAGTAAAGAGATAAAGAGGGTAATATATTGATAGAACAGTAAGAAAAACTAAGAAGATGAAACTCCTAAATGAGATCGACAATGTTTTAGATTATATTGATAAATTAGATGTTTGTTTGTAATATTCCATTTATCGGTTTTTAAAAAAATATGCTTTTATTTATGTGTTCTTAATATGCCATATGGTAAATAAAAAATAAATTCTCCGCCTTTGATACGCTTCTTGGTAAAACTTATAATGACAACTAAATTATAAAATAACTTATTCTCATTTCATTATTTCTTTGCTGGAGTAGGTATAGTACTTATAGTTTATTTTTATGAACGAGCGAGTAATTAGCATAATTTTAACTGGTACCTTCGACCACTCCATGGGCGTGCTCAAGATTAATTGAAAAATTACTTTGAATAATTGTAAAAAATAAATGAATTATTTCAGTGTTATAAAGTTTTATGTGTATGTAAACAAAAGTGACCTCTTTTATCACACACTATATTAGAACTGACTGGCCTACATTAAAAAGGGTTTTAAAAAATTCACATTTTTTTTAATTTTTAAAAATTACAAAAGAGAAAAAGAGTTTTTAAAACCGTCTAAGGTATGTTAAATAGATGAATAAAAATATTAATATAAAACTTACAGCTACTTGTTACAAATCCAAATCAGATTCAAAAGATGAACTTTCAGAACCAAGATTTATAATAACTGGCTCCATCATTTTATCGGTAATATTGTCCAGCTTCCACATTTTTTCCCCTTCTTTAATAGCGTGATTTACTGCCTTTTCCCAGTTTTCAGGTTTTACATTATTTACGGCCTCCAAAAACAACTGTTTAACATCATGAATTTTAAAAGTGGTATTTTTTCTTGAAACTTCACTCTTTACAAAAGCGTGCCTTTGACTTGTAACAGTTTCATCCTGCCAAAATTTATTTGGTGTATGACCCTCGTTGATCCATGTTTCATCAAGATAAAATATTTTTCTTTTTTGGTTTCTCATTTCCTTTATGGTTCTTAGAAAATGTCTTCTCCATATGACAATATCGCTTCTTTCTAATAAAATAGACTTTCTGGAATTCTTTTTCCAGTGGAAGCATATTTCTTTTAAAAGTTTCCATAACGTACTTGGACTCATTTCTGGGTAATCCTTATTATCTCGAACTGAGACAAGAACTTTATCCAATGTTGGAAATTCTTGTCTAAAGAAGAATTCATGCACTTTCCGTCGAAGTCCTTCTTTAAAATGATATTCTATTTGAAATTTTGGTTTCCCTGGAGCATTACGTGGCATTTGAAAACTACTACATTTCTCTTCTTTAATAACTCTGTAAATCGTAGATTTCCCAACACCAAGTGTACTGCTAACTAACTCAACGGTCTCATCAACACTTTCACATAAAGGTTTGTCTGTAAATGATTTAAAACAATTAAATATTAATGTTTTTTCATTAACTGTTAAAGGACCAATTTTTCGTCGTTTACACGGCACTTCCAAATTTTCCATAATACTAGTATACACAATAAACTGCACCTTGCAACTGAAGTACCTACTTTTAGTGAACTGTTAAGAATTTTGGACCTTGGACCTTCCTACAAAATGGAAAAACCCACTATCACATTTTCTGTGGAATAAGTTTAGAAGGTAATTATCTAGTCAATTACTGTCGTAGATTCCTGGAATTAAAGAATTAAATGTTTGATTGTTGAAACCCTTACTTCGTGGAATGCACTCATTTCAGATAAAATAAAATGTTTTATTTTATCTAAAGAATTAAACTTTATTTTGCAAATAGGTAGGTACTTAATAAACTTTTATTGGTTATATATAACCAATAAACTAAACATCTTACATTTCTTGCAAATTCATTAGTACCTGTTAACCTCCATCACTCCGACACTGGCAACCTTATTTAGGGATTAGTAACCCTTACAACTATTGTATTCTATTCTGCTCCAACCTTTATACCTGGTGGTCATACTCAATTTAAAATTGTTTTCCTATATACTTCTGTAAACTTGTTGACAAATATCTGTTTTTCATTGAGTCACCCGTATCAACAGTTTAGGGATTTGCATACATAATTTATTGTTTTATTACTCTCTCATACATAAAAATACACTATAGATGTATTGTAAATGTATGTATATATTTTAAGAATGAAAAAGGTACATATTATGGAGGATAACCGCAAAGAAGTTGTACTTTATGGTTGCCTTTTTTTCATCTTTTTCGCGAATACTCTTTTTACCTTAGTTTTATACTATTCACCCGCATAAAAAATAATAAAAACTTACTTTTCCATACGGATTCATTTTCATCAAACATATGACTTTCCGTTACAACATCAAATATGTAATCTTTGAATCCAGCTTCTGCTAAATCTTTTTCATATTCACTTTTCGGATCAGCTTTGTAGTAATAAGCCGATGTGTGATCTCCGTACTTTTTCCATTTAAGGTGCTCGGCCAATTTGGCGAAAGCCTCATCCACGGGCTTATGGTCGAAACATGATACGAATACTTGACCTCCCGGTTTCAGCATCTTATAGATGTTCTTAAACGCTTGGCTAAAAAAAAATATTTTAAAAGTTTACACATGTACACAGTTTATTTTAATCGTTTTATTATTGCTGAACTTGTTATTTGAATTGTTGTTTGGTGAATCGATAAATTTGTTGTTTCTTGAAGAAATATTGTATAGTTTCCTTTTTACTGGAAAATTACTTAATGAGGATCTAATCATCTATAAAATTATTACCACGGAAACATATTTACAGTATTGTAAAATGCTGAAATTGAATATTTATTATATTACCCGGATATAATCAGTTAATAGTTATTTATTGTACAAGACGATAAAATTGAACTTTATCTTCGAGAGCGTTTTTTTAGCGTCGAGACGTCAGTCGACACGCTAATTATGCTCGAGAAGATAATGCGATTTTATCGTCGTGTGCAATACAACATTTTTTTTCTATAGCAAGACTTCAAGTTTAGGTGAAAAATAGAATTTAAGAGAAAATTGTAATTTTTAGCACAAAAATCGCAATTGTGTTGCTCCGTTGCTAGGGATATGAATTACTTTGTCAACACATGTCAAACAAATGTTACAGAAAATCAATCCAGTACCTCGAATCAAGTGTTTAAGCAAACGAGTACAAGTTGTGATGCTTCAAAAATAGATATTTCTAATGATGTTAATTGGAAAATTTCAGTTGTTTTTAATCCTTAATGTGCTTGAATTTGTAAATTTTATTGAATAAAAAAAAGTTAAAATATTTTATCTACTCTTGCTGTTATAGTGTCACTTTATCTACCCTTGCGGTTAAAGTGATACTTTATTTACTCAAAACAGTTGTTACAGCAACACTTTAACATTAGCTATGCAAAAAACTCTCTTAAACCATGTTAATGCATGTTTCAATAATGAGTTTTTTATGTTAACTAATTTTATCAATTAACCATTTTCAGTTGTCTATTAATTTGCCCTTGTTTCCCGTTAGATCAGTTTTCTTCATCTTTTTTAATAAACGATATATTTTTAAGTAAAAACATCTGGCAAGGCCCTAGAACTATAATAATGTGGAGAGTGGGCGTGCGCATTCTTCTTTGGAGAACAATTTTTGAATTTGGAATTCTAAAACCGCACTGTACATTTATACTTTGAGATACCGGACTGACATATCCGCCAAATGAAAAACGTATTCCTAATCAAACGCAGAGAGAAGATAAAACCTAGCCTCAAAAAAACTTAAAGATCCAGTAGTACAGGAAGAGATAGAGTGAAGAGATAAAGCGGCCGGTGAGGACAAAATACTGGCGGAACTGCTAAAAGAAGGAGGAGACACGATAAAAAAAATGCTAAACATACTGTTCAACAAATGTCTGTTTGAAGGTAAAATACCTAAACAATGGAGAAATGCCAACACAATCTTAATACATAAGAAAGGAGACCGAACAGACCTAAACAACTACCGTCCTATTTCCCTTTTGTCACAACTATATAAAACCTTCACAAGAATAATAAACAATCGACTAACCTATAAACTTGATAACTACCAACCAGTGGAACAGGCCGGATTCAGGAAAGGATACAGCACAATCGACCATCTACATGCGCTTAAAATCTTAATTGAGAAAACCAATGAATACAACCTTCCGCTGTACTTAGCATTCGTAGATTATGAAAAGGCTTTCGACAGCATTGAACACTAGGCGGTTGAAGAAGCTCTGGTCAATAGTAGAATAGATTCAAGATACCGACAATTGATACATGATATTTACCAAAACGCAACCATGACCGTAATTCTGGACGACAAATTAATAACGGATAATATAAAAGTTAAACGAGGAGTCTGACAAGGCGATATAATTTCACCTAAATTGTTTACCTTGACCCTCGAAGACATAATAAGATCAACAGATTGGGAAAACAGAGGAATATGTATTAACGGAAAATACCTAAAACACCTTAGATATGCGGATGATATACTCCTGATCTCCTCGGAACGACAAGAACTGGAATTAATGCTGAATGAATTTCATGAAAAATCACTGCAAAAAGGCCTAAAAATTAACTTCAACAAAACAAAAGTAATGACAAACACGGAAGACCAAGACGCAATAAAAATAAAAACAGAAAAAATAGAACAGGTAAATGAGTATATCTATCTAGGACAAGCAATCAGAGCTAACAGAGAAAATCAAACAGCCGAAATATCGAGACGAGTAAGAATGGGATGGGCAGCGTTCGGCAAACTTTCTTACGTTCTAAAAAATCAAACAATCCCTCTATACTTACGAAGCAAGGTATATAACTCCTGTATAATACCGGTGCTCACCTACCGAGCACAGACATGGACATTTACACAGGCCAATTTGGATAGGATAAGGAAGGCATAAAGAGCGATGGAGAGACAAATGTTGGGTGTATCACTTAGAGATAGAAAACGTAACCAGTGGATCAGAACCAGAACAAAGACAGTAGACGAGATAGAACAAGCAGCAAAACTGAAATGGAAATAGGCTGGACACAATGAACATCTCCAAGACGGACGATGGCACAATTTCATTGGAAAGTGGCGTCCATACAATGCAAAGAGATCAAGAGGCAGACCACAGATGAGGTGGAAAGATGATATCAGGAAACAAGGAGGAAAAAAGATAGTAGTTATTTGCTTTATATAGTTATAGCCAACCTTCAGTAATGGAGAGGGCACCTTAGGATTTCTAATTTGGCATTCTGTGGAATGCATAAGCACTAAAATTCAAATTTTACCGGTAACATAGGATTATAATAACAGTATTCAAGAAAAACTTACAATATAAATATAGATCAAATACAAATTATATAGAACAAAAAGAATCTTTCAAGATACTTACTTAGGATCATGTACGTTATGCATCGCAAAAATTCCAAATATGTGATCGAACCTGTTTTCAAACTCAGACGGCAAGTGCTTATTAGCGATATCTTCAACGACAAATTGTACCCTTGGAATATTAATCTTGGATTGAACAAAATCTATCATTTGCTTAGAAATATCCAACACCACAAACTCCTTGTAGTCTCCCGGCAAAATCGGCTGCAGACAGTTCGCCGAACACTTTCCGTCTCCAATACTAAACTCCAATATGCACTCACCAACTTTCCATTTTATTAAATCTTTATATTTTGCAAGATGTTTTAGCGTGCTAACGGTCGTCATATCGTTGCTTTCATTATATTGTTCGGGTAAAACCATCGCCATGTTTAAAATGTGTTTTAAACTTTCTGTTAAACTGTTTTATATTATCGTTACCTGTTTACTAAACACACGAATAGTACTTGTTGGAATTTTTTTGTGGTTTTCACTTTTATATATAAAACATATTTCATTCAGAAGTCGTTACGATAAATAAATGATTTCCATACAATTAAAATACCATTTTCGGTATTAATACAGTGAACAAAAAAATGATCCAATAATTTAGTTTGAATATTGGTTTTATTAGTGGGTTTTTTAATAAACTACAGGTTTAGAACTAAATAAATAGTTATCTAGATAGTAACGTACATATTTAGATAACATCGCCAAGAAAAAGAAATAAACAAAGTCAGCTCATTCTAGGAATTTTCTTTTCGTTTTTTTTCTTAAATGAAACGAACTATTTTTCCGACAAAAAATTGCAGTTACTTAAAATTAAAGTGTGTTTTGTAGGACTACCTGGATTTACATCATATTTATCTTCAATTTAAACTTTACATGTGTTAGCTTACCTATTATAAAAAGCTTTATTATATTATCAACGGTATTTGACTCAAAAATTTGAAAAAAAAGTATAAATCCTTCTCATAATATTTTTATTTAAATTTTTACTACTATTTTTTTCTTTAAGGAGTTAAATAGGTCTTGTATTTTTACAAAATCTGTTAGCTTTTATTACCGTTAGCAGTGTACCATTTTGTATATTCCTTGGTATATATTGAAATCCCTTCGTATATGTATTAAAATACTGAAGAATATTTTCCATCTATCTCTGTTCATATCGTACAAGTTAAAATACCTAAAAATTGTTTTCAATCCTACTTTCGTCGCCGAGGTCGATTATAAACCATTTTACAGTTTGTTTATATTTCACGGATGCGTTATTCCTCGGTATTTCTTTTGATCAAAGCCGCTTTAAGATATTTTTGGAAAAAATAAACAAAATATTCCCGTTTATATGCTTTGTTTATACTAAGTTGGGAAGCGAATGATTTTTAAGAATTACATCACTCTTGCTGAGGCGGTTGTCAAAAGCAGTTGACTTCAGTGTTAGTCCACATTTTACGTCAAATTTGTAATGTTTTCTCGTCTTTCGTCCTATTTCATGGAAAATATGTAGTGAGCAGTAAATAGTTACAGTTTAGTTACAGTAAGTGAGATTTTGAAAGATATCCACATGTTCCATTTTCCAAAATTTCTAAAATTTCCAAATTTGTATTTCCTAAGAAACCGTTTCAAAATAGTTCCCTAGTATGGAGATGAATTTTCACGTGTGGCAGAAAGTGTAAGCACAGTTCTACCCCAGAAATTCCAGTGAAGTCTAGTTTCCACATCCAGAAATTTTAGTGCAATATAGGTAACTTTTGTGTTTAAATTTTAAAGGAAAAATAAGAATAAACATATTTATTCATAATTACTTTCATTAGAGTTTGTAAAGATAATCTTTTATTTGTAATAATTTATTTCTGCTACAAATTATAGCCCAGTAACAATAGTAAGTTTTGTAGTATCTCCAATTCCTAGAGTTTGTAAACCGCTAGGACATAGTAAGTGTTTATCTTTGTTACTTTTGTGACTATTAATGTAGTATTTTTGTATTGTCTATTTTTGTAACGGTTTGTGTTTAATTTTTAATGTTTAATTTTTTTCCTAAACCATTTTCTTTATTTCTCTTAACTAACTCTCTTACCCCTTTTTTGACTGTCATTTAAAAAAATATATTTTTCATTTCTAATAATTATTTCAAAAGTTACAACTAGGTAGCAGCAGAGGATGCTAAAAATCCCCGGAAAACATCAGGCTACCACAAAGAGCAACACATGCGTGTTACTGCATACAAGGTTAGAACTCTTCAATCGGACCAGAAGATGATGAAATTGAAGGAAGCGCTGAAAACAATAACATGGGACATTATCGGCCTCAGAAAAATAAGACGAAGATAAGTAGTCGAAATTAAACTTAAATCAGGACTTTTCAACAATATCGACAATCCATTGTACCGGGTGGTCCAATAAGCCAATCTCTCGGCTATATATCAGAAACTATTCATGTTATAACTTTAGGAGAAAAAATTCCTTAGTAAAAGTGGACAAGAGAAATCGCTGGAAATAACTTTCAAGATTCTGGATTAACCGCTAGGGGGCGTAACTTGCGAAGAAAATTTTGAAAACCAGTTTTTTGGGAAATATGTCCAATTATACCAAGTGTTAAATAAGTAAACCAAAAAAAGGCATAAATTCTGCACAAAGTTGTTCAAGTACTTTTTTTTTATTTTTTCAAATAAAGGGTGGGGGAGAGTGGGAAAGTATTTGTGGATAAATACTTATAACTTTGGTTTGGATCAACCGATTTTAATAAAGTTAGTGTTATTAGAAAGAGTATGGATGAATTAATTTACATCTACTATAAAATAATTGCATTCAGTTTTAATTGTCGTAGGTAGAGGGTACTTTCGAATAGACAAAATTAAAATTTGTTTTTCTTCAAAATTTTTAATAGAAACACCTATTTATTGTAAATTATAATGGAACTGGATTAAATTCGTAAGAAAATGGCGAAAACCGCATGTTAATAGCTTTTATCGAACTCGAGATATGAATAAAAACGCATTAACATAAGTAAGTATAGTATTGACACACCCTGTATTATAAAATAAATTAAAAAATAAGTCAGTAGGTACTTTCAAAATTTTTTATAGCAGAAAACTCTTAATGTTGATACCTATTTTGACCATTGTTATTGCATATGATTAAAAATTGTTTTTTCGAAACTAAGTAGGCTACGACAATGAATTTGACAGGGAATTTGTTTATTTATTGACAGCAGTCAAAATATTGTTAAGAAGTGTTATATGTATTATCATTCGAATTGAAAATTGCATTTTTTTCAATAGATATTAATATTGGTAATATTAGTAATTAATTATCAGTACTAATAATTCGTGATGAGTATATCAAATTGTATGATATGATTGGAGTTTATTTCAAATTCACCAAAATGGCGCTATTGCCTCACGTATATATTCTGTAAGATATCCTGGCAGGAGATATTGTGGCAAAGAAGTAGAGATTTCGGACTACTTATATGTGGATTCTGTTAAATTAAAGCAAGAACATTGATTGAATTATCTTCGGTTATAACTCTACTACGTCGTTTAAAACAAGGACGAGAAAAACTACCAGTTTTTTTACTTAATCTTTTTGCCTTTCTTTCAAATACTTCTTTGGCATAATGTCTCCTGTCACGATATCTTACAAAATATATACGTGAGGCAATAGCGGCATTTTGGTGACATTCGAAATAAACTCCAATCATATCATACAATTTGATATACTCATCACGAATTATTTGTACTGATAATTAATTAATAATATTACCAATATTATTATCTATTGAAAAAAGTGCAATCTTTAATTCGAATTATAATATAGCACTTCTTAACAATGTTTTGACTGCTGTCAATAAATAAACAATATGAACTCCTCGTCAAATTCATTGTCGTATAATACCTAGTTTCGAAAAAGCTATTTTTTACAAAATAGGTATCAACATTAAGATTCTTCTGCTATAAAAAAATTTGAAAATACCTACTGACTTATTTTTTAATGTAATTTATAATACAGGGTGTGTCAATACTACACTTACTTATGTTTATGAGTTTTTATTCATATCTCGAGTTCAACAAAAGCTATTGACATGCGGTTTGCTCCATTTTGTTACGAATTTATCCCAGTTCCATTATAATTTACAATAAATAGGTGTTTCCATTAAAAATTTTGAAGAAATACAAATTTAATTTTTTTTTATTTGAAAGTCCCCTCTACCTACGACTATGAAAACTAAATGCAAGTATTTTATAGTAGATGTGAATTAATTCATCCACACTCTTTCTAATGACACTAACTTCATTAAAATCGGTTGGACCAAACCACAGTTATAGGTATTTATCCACAAATACTTTCCCACTCTCCCCCACCCTTTATTTAAAAAAATTAAAAAAAAAGTACTTAAACAAGTTTGTGCAGAATTTATGCCCATTTCTAGTTTACTTATTTAACACTTGGTATAATTGGACATATTTCCCAAAAAACTGGTTTTCAAAATTTTCTTCGCAGGTTACGCCCCTAGCGGTTAATCCAGAATCTTGAAAGTTATTTCCAGCGATTTCTCTTGGCCACTTTTACTAAGAAATTTTTTTTCTAAAGTTATAACATGAATATTTTCTGGTATATAGCCGAGAGATCGGCTTATTGGACCACCCGGTACATAGAAAGCACACACAAAATATAGTTAACCTTAAGGAAATGCAGACATGTGCTCCAACGACTACCCACTCAGATGAAGAAATTGAAGAGTTTTATGACTTGAAAATATCCATACATGCTACACCATCATATTACACAATCATTATGGGCAACTTTAATGCGAAAATGATCTTTGAGCAAGATGATGCAGAAGTGCAATAGGTAAGTATGGATATGGCAAGAAAAAGAGCTAGGGCAAAGACTACTAATCTTTTTACAACAGGAAAATTTATCCATGATGAACACTTTTTTGATAAACGCCTTAACGTAAATGGACATGGATAAGCCCAGATGGTAGTGTGAAAAATAAGATATATTTTTTTATCATCATCTTCATTTTCTTACGGTGCGTATCCGTTCCGCATGTTGGCGTTCAGCATGGCTACCCTAACTTTGCTTACAACTATTCGGAATAGTCCAGTTGTAGATGTATCGAACCACGTTCTCAGGCTTTGAAGGTAATATATTCTTCTTCTCTCTGGTCCTCCCTTTCCAAATACCTTGCCCTGAAGAATGAGCTGCAACAAGTCATAGCTCTGTTCATTTCTCATAACATGGTCAACATATTCCAATTCGGCCTCTTTAATTGTGTTAATAATCTCGAATTCTTTGCCCATTCTTCGTAGCACCTCAACATTAGTAACGCGATTTATCCATGAAATTTTTAAGATCCATCTGTAATACCACATCTCGAAGGCC